CATATTCACGCTAAAAATGTGAAAATTCTCGGGGAGGGTCAAAAATCACGTGCTTACAATATTTAGCTTACAACAGCTCAACACACCCCAATCGATTCATACCCAAAATGGCGACTATAGTAGTGTCAAACACCCCGAAAATATTACAAAGAATGACTAATCCATCATTTAGTCATTATGTGGTGTTTCTCCGCACCATTTCTCCTGCAGAAACTCCATCAAATATCAGCAAAATATACAGCCCCAAAATATACACGAAACAGCCCACAAAACAGTCCATTACAAATCAAATAACTCGAACTCACGACTTCCGATCACCGTCCCGTGAGTTCTAACTATTATGTAATGACTTAATCAACATTCCTTGATATTTAAGATCTTACAACCAGAAATTAGGCATTTTTATTAATTTCAAAATACCTTCTAAAACTCAAACTATAAAGAAAAAAAGGTGATATAGCGATACTTACGTCGCAGGGATCATTTTGATGTTATCGCTACTTGATTTCGCGCCCCGGATGGTAGTATCGTTGAAAATCCTTATGGAGGACTTGAGGGTGAGTTTAGGGGTGTTATATAGTTGAGATCTCTGGAAAAGTAAAGTAAGAGACGAGACAGAGAGATAAACATCCCATTTTCTAAAAGTCAAAAAGGTACCACATGCCACTTTCTCACTGGCCCTTTTTCAAACACTTATATCTTTTTATCCGGATGTCGTATGAACGAACTGTTAAGAGCGTTGGAAACTACATTCAAAGACCTTCAATTATATGTCCCAAAAAAACATTATATAGCACACGAAATATATTTCTCAAAAAAATTCAATTACAAGGCAAATCCTTAGCCGGTTTTTCCGCAACATAGATCCGATTTTTCTCAAACTTTATACTTCATATACAAACATCATATATAGTTATATCATGGCTTTAAACTCATTTAAATTATGGTTAACAAGTCTCATATTCATCTTAATTTACTTAACACTTCGGCAAACCTTTCTTATCCTTGTAGAAGGATTTCATACTTTTTGAGTTTACATTAGATAATCCTATAATGATAGTAACGTCTGAAGTACGGGGTGTAACAACATGTACCCTTATGAACATTTATCCTTGAATATTAACTCTCAAAGGCTTGCAAAAAAAAATATGGGACGTAAAATCACTTTATATAATTTCCAAGAGGATCTGCTTACATCAACGGACTTACGGCGTACTTTCACGTGAAGTTGCACTGATCATTGAGATGCATTTGAAGGTAGTGAGTTCTGGTTATTGTTGAAATCAATATGTTCCTTGTTTCTCTGTTCCTCTAAACCCTTCTGCGTTATAGAGACAAGAAAGAAAGCAACGAAACAAATCTTCTCCTCATTCCTCAAAGTTCTTTGTGTTTATATTTTCTCTCCAGTAATCAACTGTATTTCCTCTTGTACATGTCGCAGATTAATGCCATAGACCGTTTAACCACATCAAGTCCAAGCTCTGAAGATTTGTTGTGGGTAGTATGGCAGCTTTGTGGTCTTGCCAGGTAGGAACCTTTTTTTATTTTATGCTGAAGGTTTACAATCTCTCAGCCTTTTGACTAATGCTTTTGGGATGTTCTTCAGATCTGATTGTGGGCGCCAGGCTTTGTTGGCTCTGGTTCATTTCCCAGAGGTAATAGGCTCCTATTCTGCATCAATCTAATAAAGTGGAAATGTTTCAAAAGCTTCATGTGTGAGTTTTACTGGCTAACGCAGTTATTATCGTTAACCTTAATATCCATAGCTTATCATTTAGTGCTTCATTTTGAAACTCTAAAAACAAGTTTTCCCTTGCGTCGAGTGATATGCATTTGCCCATCTCTGGTATTATATTTACATGACCTGGAATTTCTTTTGTCTTGTGTAGGCTCTTTCAGCTTTAATTGCGATACTTCACTCAGTCAGGGAATCGGATCCAGTTGCCCCAAATTGTGGTACTTGAGAACTCCATTTAGCAGCAATTTTCACCTCAAGAAAAAATGGAACTGATGCTACTTTACTTTTTAAAAAAAGGGAAAAACTGGAATTGATGCTACTTTATGCTGATTACATTGAATTTTCAAAGTGTTCACCTCATGTCTATTAACTTCTTGATTTTGTAGGAGCTTCACCCTTGAACCTTACTATCTTTCACTCTACTGCTGAGATTTTTGAGGTCATTGTTTCGGACTCAACTGCGTCTTCTCTGGGGGCTTGGATTGGACATGCTAAAGAACTTCATAGAGTCTTACATTCCTCCTCTCCAGGATCCAGCAAAAAAGATGCTCCTGCAAGACTTTTGGACTGGATTGATGCTAGTGTGGTGTACCACAGGAGTGGAGCAATTGGTCTTTTACGATATACAGCTATCTTAGCTTCTGGAGGAGATGCTCACATGGCCTCAACAAGTCTTTTGGCATCTGATGGCATGGACGTTGATAATGTCATTGGGGATTCTTCCTGTACTGATGGTAATATCATAGAGAATATGCTTGGGAAACGCATCACCGAGAAGGATTTTCCTGGGGTTGTTCTTCGTGACTCATCTGTTGTTCAGCTGACGACAGCATTTCGAATTTTGGCGTTTATTTCCGATAATTCGGTATGACATTATAGGGGTGTCATTCTGATCATATTACATGTCATTAGGAAAAACTCATCCGTAATATTGTTGTTTGTTAGTGAAGGCTGTCACTGCTGCTCTTTATGATGAAGGTGCAGTCATGGTTATCCATGCAGTTTTAATCAACTGCAGGCTCATGCTTGAGAGGTCCTCAAACATATATGGTCAGTTTTTCCAACCATTATGTTTGCTTGAATTATAAGATTCAGCTATACTTCGGCAGCTACATATTGCTTTCCTAACTTCTGACCCCATATTGGATGTAAAAGTTTTCATTACGTACTCTGGACATCACATTCTATCATACACTGAAATTATCCGAAAATACAAAAGAAGAAGAGAATAAAATAAATGTTCGACCATATTTTGTGATATGGAACACTAGTAAAAACCCCAATCAGTAGAGCTTAGGTTTATGATGCACATAATCTGTTTAATGAATTGGTTATGCTTTGGAATGAAGTATCAACTTCTCTTATGAAAGCAGAAGTTTTACATTGTTTAATCAAATCAAGTATTTTGTGCTTTCTTTGTGTTGCTCGGAGTTTTTTCGTGTTAATTTGGTTAAAACATTTGATATACGAACTTCTTTTGGGTAATAGTGGTGTCAAGGTCAATCAGTGTGCAACTCAATTAATTCATTGGGTATATCGGTTTGAGACTTTGAGTGGTTGTGAGATGGAAACTATGGGAGAGAAATATTGACAGAGGGGAGAAAAGGTTTGCAGTGGTTTTAGTTTTTGGTAATCCTACTCTTCATTTCTTTTTTCGGTTGTTTTTCCTTTATTGAAGTGGTCAGGGAGTATGATGGCCAGTTAATTGAAGACTGGTCGATGACCCATCAAGTATCCAAAAGGGAAAATAATGTTGGAAGTGTCTATTGGTGAAGATGCCTTCTTCTTCTACCTTTACCTTCCTCCTTTAAACGCTTGGTAGTTGATCTTACCATGGAACTGGGGAGAGGATTGGTACTCCCTTATGCCAAAAGAAAAAGATAGTGGAACATGTGGATGCACCCGTCTTTCCTGGATATGGTCCATGCTTTGTTGAGAGGGGATGGTGTCCAGTAGAGAATTTAGATCTTTCTTGATTGTCAAAAAAGTATGGACCATTTTTCGGTTTGTGTCTATCATCCTTGCTCCAAGTGTCATATTTATCGTTTTTCCCATCTTCTTAACGCCATTCAATGAATCTACTTAGTTAATAAGAAAAGGTCATATTAATCTTTATCATTCCAATTTTATCTGACGTCTTGAAGGGACAGTAGAAAATATAGATCTTAAATCTATTTTTGGAGTCGCTCCCATTATGCAGTGACACGCGAACAGGGCCAAGCTTCACATGGTCTTAACACAGTGTTTCTGTAGAAAATATTAGATAGCAGTTCCCCTAATTCTCTTCCACTGTGACCAAGAGTCCCAGAAAAACAAAAGAGGAAAACTCATCCAGCTTATTTGTCAGCTCTATTGTTCAAATCATATTAATATGCAAATTATATGCTTTTCTTATTTGATGGTAGTAAATGGGCATGCTTTGGAGCTTCTTTTTCTGACAGATGTCTCTCAGTTTGACCCTAATGCTCTATGGATTTCGTTCTTGGAGAGCCATGTAGGAAGATCAAGCCAGTGTTGTCAAAGGCGCGCTTAAGCCCTAAAGCGAGGCTCAAAACATGTTGAGCGCATCGCCTCGCTTTGCAGGCACTTCAGTGTCGCATCAAGGCTCTAAGGCATACTTTCCTAGCCAATGTGTGTAATCCTGAAAATGCAATACTGAATAATTGATATTTCACTTTATCTTTATTTTTTCTTCAATTTTTTTGTCCATATATTTGTTATTCATGCTTATAATTATTGGTCTTGGACTACATATACATATTTCCAGTTGCGCCTTTTTTCATTAAAGCCCACGCTTTATTTGCGCTTTCCGCTTAAAGCCCCAACAGACCTTAGAGCTTTTTTGCGCTTTTCGCCTTTGATAACACCGGATCAAACTTAGGAAATCCTTTATCATGAATATTTTGCTTTTATTTGATTGTGACATCTATCATCAATTCCCTTCTCTATTTTACTTTCCCTTTTTTCCTGACTTCAGAAAGTATATGTTGTCATACTTTACAAAATTTTCGTGTTTCTATTTTTCCTTGAGCAGATTACCTAGTTGATGAGGGTACAGAATGCAATTCGACTTCGGATTTACTACTGGAACGTAATCGTGAACAGACCCTTCTTGATTTGCTAATTCCCTGTCTGGTGCTGTTGATTAATCTGTTGCAAAAGCTAAAGGTTTGTAGTGACTATTTTAGGGGAGAAAGTACTTGCTGTTATATTTTCAAGTTGCTTCCTCCAGTGCTGGTCTTCAAATGCTTGCGCATCATCTCTTCGGTTCCTCATCGAAACTTGGTCGACCTTCCGAGGGCATTGCTGTATTTATGTCTTCAAACAAGGACATCTCTATCCTTCATAAACTATTAGTGAGGGCTTATATTAGGACATTTTGCTCCTGCCAATTCTAATGCAGAAGTGTTATAGGATGTTTGGAATAATTGCTGTCTATAGTACTGTTAGATCTACTTCTATGAGCAGCATCCCTTTTTCTGCACATTTGTGGTTTGGTGGTTACCTTTTTATAAGCTAGATGATCATTTATCTTTTCCCAAGTTCTGCATTGCACAACATATTCCTGACAGAGGCAAGTTGTTTTCTTACTCAACTTGTAGGAAGCTAAGGAGCAGCATAGGAATACTAAACTAGTAAATGCTCTTCTACAGTTGCACAGAGAAGTGAGGTAAGGAAACGTCTTACACTTTCATCTAAGTTCCAGCAATTCTTTTCACCTAGTTTCTCCTTCTTTCTCTATTTAACTATTTTTATTCCTTTATTGCAGTCCAAAGTTGGCCGCCTGTGCAGCAGATGTATCCTATCCTTACCCCAGTTTTGCACTTGGGTTTCAAGCTGCTTGCCATCTTCTTGTTTCTGCATTAGCATGTTGGCCAGTTTATGGTTGGACCCCTGGCCTTTTTCATTTCCTCCTAGATAGTCTTCATGCAACTTCAGTATTGGCGTTAGGTCCCAAGGAAATCTGTAGTCTGCTTTGCTTATTGGTATGTGATGCTTGATAACTCGGATTCTTGAGCAGCAAGCTTGATATTCATTTTTTTTTCTTCTCTAGATCATATATGTGTTAGGGATATAATATATATGTCCTAGATCCAATATCATATTTGATGATTTGAACATATTTTTTATATATGACATTTGATATTCTTTTATCATAGTTATTATTAATTATTTGATTAACTTGATAATGTCATTGATTAAATTATTGAGATTTGACATTGTGATGGAGATCATGATAATGAGAGTCAAGTTTCTTATAATTTAATCTAAATTTGTTCTTGATCATAGGATTATTAATTTGGACATTGGTAATCTGGTAAGATCAATATTTATGTGATCGTTTTTATTGGATAAAGATTAGTTGATCTCATTAACTAATTCGCATAGATAGATGATGCATATAAAGATATGATTCATTGGATAATTCCTAATGGTTAGAATTACCATAAATTATTAATAGGATATTCTCTTGAAGAATGTGATGTAAGAATTTCCTTTGACCTGAGATCGTCATAGTAATTGACAAGTTATTTATTGTGCTTTGATACTAGACACATATGGCCCTAGGGCAATAGTTGAAAGGATATTGGGTACGGTTAAATACTTGTAGAAATAGTGATTGATCCAAGATGGAATCTGTCAACTCTTGGTAATGAGTTTAAGCTTCATGTTGTCATGAATTATAAACGACCAAACTACGACCTTGGTCAGGGCAATAGAATGAAAGAAGAAATGAGTTTCTTAGGTCATTCAATGGTCGATTATATTTGACATGAACACATGATTGCCTATTTGGATTTGAAAGTTGAACCATATCCTAGGGTGATCCAGAGCTATAAAGACAGAAGGAATTACTACATTATTCTTCTACTGGTTCTTGAGAGTAAATATACTTCATGCTATCCGGTCGTTAAGGAGTGTTGCTAGACGTCACCCTTGATTAGTATGTTGATGTGATCAATTTGCTACTGGTTTAGTAATGAACTTATGGGGGGTCGCACACTAACGAGTGTTCTGATCTTTGCTAAAGGTTTAATTGCTTTATTATTTGGTAATTAAATTAAAGAATTTAATTAGTCAAATAAATTTAGTTATTAGTCCAAATGAAATATTATTATATTCTTTGCTAGCACAGAGGATATAATTAATATTGTGAATAAACTGAAGTTTTCTATTTGGAATAGAAAATTAAATTATATATATGGATTAATATTTAGTTGCATATATAATATGATTAGTTGGTTCTATAATCTAATTTAGAATTGGATTAGAAAATCACATGTGGCTTTCATGAAACCCATTTGAAATGGGATTAAGTTTTCCTACAGGAAAATAATAATCCAATTATGAATTGGATTATCAATTGAAAGTCCATAAGGACTAACCACGCCTGCCGACAATTCTTTTGATTGGAATTGAAATTTATCCTAGGGCAGAAATCCTATTAATATTGTGAATTGGTTTTCACACTCATCATGCATATATGAAAGTGATTGTACCTTTACTATATAAAACAAAATTGTAAAGAAAGAAAAAGGTCCAATTATTATGTGAATTGGTTTTCACACTCATCATGCATATACCTTTACTATATAAGACAAAACTGTAAAGAATGAAAAGGTCCAATTATTATGTGAATTGGCTTTCATACTCATCATGCATATATGGAATGTGATTGTACATCTACTATATATTGTAATGAAAGAAAAAAAATTCAAGACTTGTTAAGACAAGTCTGTCTTTTTGCCCAAACCGTATAGGAAAAAGTTGGCAACTTAGGCGTATAAATATCATACAAAATAAAGTGTTAAGACACTTAATTTTTTTGGAGTGAGACAACAAGAGATATATTTGACAAAGTAATTACTTTCTTTGTCAAGAAGTTGGCTTGAAGTTTTGAGAAAAATTTCAGCACACAATTTATTCAATTTGTTTGCAGGTTTTAATTGATCTAAGAGTTGATAGCAAAGAATCGGTCTCGGTGTGAATACACATAGAGTCTTCGCACAATCGAAGAAAAATTTTGAAACGAGACTTTCTTCACCAGGTATGTCTTAGATCCGATCTTTGACCTGTAAATATATTTTAAACACGAAAAGTTCTTCCTAGGATTGTTATTATCTTCTGTTGCGTGTTACGAACATATATATGCAGTCCTACAGTGGTATCAGAGCCGTGGTTTATTGTGTCTAAAATTTATTTACGAAATATTTAATTATTATATTTGAAGAGTTCAAACCATAATACATGTGTCTTATGCAATAGTCAAATCGTTTGAATGTTGATATTATTTTATTGTGGATAAAATATGCATTCATATAACTATTGAGATAGTTCATAACTTGAATTTGAAATTTTGTATTAGATACAATGGGAGTCTATAATAGGTTACATGATTCTATTGTTAATTTTTTAATTGTTATTAGTTCATGAGATGTAAATTAATAATAATATTCTAGCAACAACAATAACAACAACTCAGTATAATCCCACAAGTGGGGTCTGGGGAGGGTAATATGTACGCAGACCTTACCCCTACCCCGAAGGGTAGAGAGGCTGTTTCCAGGAGACCCTCGGCTCAAAAAAAGCAACAGGAGACGATATATTAGTACCATAAAAATGCATAATAAAATAACAGCTTTATAAGAGATATGAAATACAGAATACGAAATACGAAATAGATGGCTGGTATAGTAAAAACTAGCAGGTAAAACCCTGCATCAATAGACGACCAATGACATTCTTAGTCTAACTCCTAACTGGCTAGTCTCACTCTATTGTGCTGTAGAAATATTCACAACTTTCCCCTAACCTACAACCTTAATGCTCGACCTCCATAATTCCCTGTCAAGGGCCATGTCCTCAGTAATCCTAAGTCGCGCCATGTCCTGTCTGATCACCTCTCCCCAATACTTCTTAGGTCGCCCTCTACCTCTCCGCGTGCCCACTACAGCCAGTCGCTCACACCTCCTCACCGGTGCATCAGTGCTCCTCCTCTGAATGTGCCCGAACCATCTGAGTCTTACTTCCCGCATCTTGTCCTCCATGGGGGCCACACCCACCTTCTCTCGAATATCTTCATTCCTAATCTTATCCATCCTTGTATGCCCGCACATCCACCTCAACATCCTCATCTCTGCTACTTTCATCTTCTGGATGTGTGAGTTCTTTACCGGCCAACATTCAGTTCCATATAACATGGCAGGCCTAACCACTGCTCTATAAAACTTACCTTTTAGTAACGGTGGCACTTTCTTGTCACACAAGACTCCCGACGCTAACCTCCACTTCATCCACCCCACCCCTATACGGTGTGTGACATCCTCGTCAATCTCCCCGATCCCCTGAATAACCGATCCAAGGTACTTGAAACTACCCCTCTTGGGAATGACTTGAGAGTCAAGCCTCACTTTAACTCCCGCTTCCGTCGGCTCAACCCCAAATTTGCACTCGAGGTATTCCGTCTTCGTCCTGCTCAACTTGAAACCTTTAGACTCAAGAGCATGTCTCCAAATCTCAAGCCTCTCGTTGATGCCGCCTCGTGTCTCGTCAATTAGAAAAATATCATCAGCAAATAGCATGCACCATGGCACCTCCCCTTGAATATGATGAGTCAGTGCATCCATCACCAGGGCAAATAGGAATGGGCTGAGCGCAGACCCTTGATGCAACCCCGTAATAACTGGAAAGTGTTTAGAGTCGCCTTCTACTGTCCTAACCCGAGTCTTAGCTCCAACATACATGTCTTTAATCACCTTAATATAGTCAACCGGGACTCCTTTATCCTCTAAGCATCTTCATAAGACCTCTCTAGGAACCCTATCGTACGCTTTCTCCAGATCAATAAACACCATATGGAGATCCTTCTTCCTATCCCTGTACTGTTCCACCATCCTCCTAATAAGGTGGATAGCTTCTGTTTTAGATCGCCTTGGCATGAACCTGAACTGGTTGTCTGAAATAGACACTGTCCTTCGCACTCTCATTTCTACCACTCTCTCCCAAACTTTCATGGTATGACTTAGTAATTTGATGCCCCTATAGTTGTTATAGCTCTGGACATCACCCTTGCTCTTATACAACAGAACCATTGTACTCCACCTCCACTCTTCAGGCATCCTATTAGACTTGAATATAACACTAAACAATCCAGTAAGCCATTCCAAGCCTGCTCTACCCACACACCTCTACAGTTCATTCGTCTGGCCCGGTAGCTCTGCCCCTTCTCATCTTACGCATTGCCTCCATGACTTCATCGATCTCAATGTCCCTACAATTACTTAATTCATGGTGACTGTCGGCATTCTTCAATTCCCCAAGTATAATATCCTAATCCCCTTCTTCACTTAGAAGTTTATGACAGTAGGTCTGCCACCTCCCTTTAATCTGGTCATCTCCCATCAAAACTTTGCCGTCATGATCTTTTATGCACCTCACTTGGTCCAGATCCCGAGTTGTCCTCTCTCTTGCCTTAGCGAGTCGGAATAACTTCTTCTCCCCACCTTTGTTCCTTAGTTCCTCATACAGACGAGCAAAAGCTGTCGTCTTAGCCTCCGTCACTTCCATCTTCGTCTCCTTCCTAGCTACCGTATACCTTTCACTGTTCTCTCTCTTCTCCTCCTTGTCAGTGCTCCCTACTAACCGCAGGTAAGCCGTCTTCTTTGCTTCCACTTTACCTTGGACAACTGCATTCCACCACCAATTTCCTTTGTGGCCACCATTGTGGCCCATAGATATCCCTAACACCTCTCTCGCCGCCTTTCTTATGCAGTCCACCGTCGTCGACCACATTGTGTTTGCGTCTCCACTACTTCTCCAAGCTCCCATTTCCGATAACCTTCCTTCCAACTCCTTAACTTTATCCTTAGTTAAGGCGCCCCACCTAATCCTGAGGCGTCCTTATACTGACCTCTTCTTCCTCCTTATCCTAATACAAATGTCCATCACCAAAAGCCTATGCTGCATTGAGAGGGTCTCACCTGGGATAACCTTGCAGTCCTCGCACAACCTTCTGTCGCATCTCCTGAGGAGGAGATAGTCAATCTGAGTCTTCGCCACCGAACTTTGGTAAGTAACCAAATGTTCATCCCGCTTCGTAAAACTCGAGTTTGCAATGACTAGATCGAAAGCCTTGGCAAAGTCCAACAACGCAATGCCCCCTCCGTTCCGCTCTCCGAAACCAAATCCGCCATGCACCTCAGTGTACCCACCTGCAGATAACCCAATATGACCATTGAAATCTCCTCCTATGAATAACCTCTCAGAAGGCGGTATACTACGAACAATCTCATCCAACCCCTCCCAAAAGTGCCTTTTAATATCCTCATCCAAGCCTGCTTGTGGTGCGTACGCGCTAACGACATTTAAAGTACCCTCACCCACCACCAACTTAATAGTCATTAGCCTATCATTCACCCGTCTGACCTCCACCACGGACTCCCTAAGATGGCTATCTACCAGGATACCCACTCCATTCTTACCCCTCAGGACACCAGAGTACCACAACTTATACCCATCCACGTTTTTCGCCCTCGATCCGACCCACCTAGTCTCCTGGACACACGCTATATTAATCTTCCTCTTCTGCAGGATTTTCGCCAACTCTATGGATTTACTCGTTAGTGAACCTATGTTCCATGACCCGATTCTCAACCTATAGGCTCCCTTGCCCCCTCTACCTCCCCTGCTACCCGACCCACCCCCTGACCCTAGCCCCACACTCTGTCCCACCCGAGGACATGCCCTTATTCTATCATCCCAGACTGCAGCCACTACACCTACAACAATCTAGAGAAGACTCGCTAGTGCACAACAAATCAAACTAGAAGGAAACAAGTGGTAACTAGTATCCTAGTTGGAAGGTTTAACTATTGTGAAGTAAAGTATCAGTAATTTAGCTAACACCAAAAGGGAAATAGTAAAACAGGAGGTACCAACTCCCGATAACAAAACCTGTGGCTGATTTGCTGTACCCAATGTAGTTGTACGCTCACGCACCACTTCCTATCGCCCTTTGCTGACACTCGCCCAGGTTGCTCTCCTTCGCCAGTGCTCGTATGCCCAACTTGTCTCCAATACTTCGAGAATTCCTAAAAACACAGAAAATACCATTACCCAAAAACCAGAAGAAGCTATCACCGCTACCACTGGTATAGCCCCAACAATATAAAATGTACAAAGAAAGGAGAAGAAGAAAACGAGAATATAAGGGGGTGGGGGCAGATTTGGGACGCAAAAGGAGTGGGGCAAGAAGACCCGATACAGTCAGTTAAAAAACAATATGTACTCCTTTAGATATGTCTACTTGAATATACAGAGAAGACTGCTGAGAAGCACTTGAAAATTGGAGAAGAAATCGCAGATAATCGGCAAACAACCACACTTGGGATCGTTTTCACTAGATTGGAAGCCACCCACACTGATTCAACTCCAAAATCTAACTAAATATGACTGAAAAATCACCTAAACTAATTTATCATAAATTTCTACACTATAACCCTAAGATTTCTATGTAAATCGAAAGAAAATCTTAGGGAAAATGGGGGAAATAGTGAGAGGATTTGAGGGAGTTCGATCTCTCTCGATCTGAGAAATTTCTATACTAGGTTTCTCTATTTCTACACTAGGTTTCTCTTTAATGAAAGAGAAATGGGAACTCACTAGGTTGAAAATTTCTATGTTTCTCTCTTTCTACACTAGGTTGAAAATTTCTACGTTTCTACACTAGGTTTCTCTTTAATGAAAGAGAAATGGAAAGAGAGAGTGTGAGTGTGTATGTGTGTCGCTGGTGGAAAGGGAACTCACCGGAGAAGTCGCCGACGGTGCTGGGATAGCTGGAAGAGGGCAACGACTTGAGCGAACTGGAAGAGATTTCGAGGAAGAGTTTAACAGTTACTGACCTTTTTGCGGGCAGTGAACTAGGGTGTGCCGTTATCGGATTCTAACCTCGAACTTGTTGTACTTAGGTAGTTGTTTTATGTGATAAACATGTTAGAGGATGTTGAATTTCATTTTTATGTCATGTGATTGTTCATTACATAATTTTGAATTATTTATTACATGTGATGTAAATTAATTTAGGACTAAGCATGTAGACAACCTGAACTAAATTCACATACTATAAAAGATTTGATCTTCATGTTATTAAAAATTATTTTAGTAACAATTCCCTCTTACTAAAATTTGAGTTCTT